TGGATGGCCGTCCCTTCCTTTTACGAGATGAAGGCGGAGGGAAGAGAATACTTATTTTCAGCACTGCAGAAAACCTTTGGAAAATAGCACATGCTGAGCAAATCTTCATGGATGGGACGTTCCACGCGTCCACGAAACTGTTCTTTCAGCTCTATACAATCCATGTTGAGTTCAGGGGAAAGATCTTTCCTATGCTGGCTGCTTTCCTGCCGGATAAAACCGAGAGCACCTATCGACGTCTTTTCGGCATCGTTAACGACATCTTGGAACAGCATGGGCTTGAACTAAAGCCGAAGTGTGTGTTAGTGGATTTTGAGCGTGCAATCCTCAAGTGCTCTCAGGAAGAAAATTCAGGATCTTGGACTTTCTTCCTGGTATAGGACGAACGCTGACGTCCGACGATGCCTTCGGCGCTTCATGGTTTTGCCTCTCATTCCCTTACCGAAGCTCGATGACGCTATCCAACTGACGATGGAGACCTGCACCGAAGAAGTGAGCCTGAGAACTTTTTTTTACTACTTCATAGAGACCTGGGGAGATGACATGTCCCCCAAATTCGGGAGAACTTTATGGAATCATGCTGACAGCAGGCAACACAGGACAACAAAAGCTGTGGAAGGCTGGCATTCGAAGGTAAACAAGCTTCTGAAAAGAAGCGCCCTGGTATTTTCCAGGTTATCCGAACCCTTCAGGAAGAGCAGTCCTCAGTCGAATCTGCAATCCAGAAGCTCCAAGCCAGCTCAGGCATCCAGGCGAAAGAGAGACCTCGGGACGTGCAGCTGAGGAACCTCAAAAGTGCCTTGGTCCAAGAAGCAATATCTCTCGGAGAATTCATGGACTGTGTCGCTGATATGTTTGTTAAGAGTCGCACGTGAACACGTTCCATTCAATGCCCATACATTAATGGAATAAAACAATTGAAAATGAATTTGTTGTTTCACCTGTACTGGCAAAGATGCATCATCATGATGCAAAAATGGGGGGGGGGAAACCTCTCCATATGAATTTGCAGCAGACAGAGAATGACTGCTACAGTGGAGCTATACAGCTTCAAAATAGCCTCTTCAAACATGTCTCCCTTGTGGTGGAATGGTAGAGTTGAGAGTCAGATATCTTCACGATGCAACCTTCATGGGTTCGATTCCGTAGGCATTCTGCTACAAAATATGTAGGTGCTGTGGGACACTGATTGGCATAAAGGGACTCTGAAATTCAGGTAGGCAGAGTCGCACACAATGGAAACAGGCATAAGCGGAGTAGGCGCTTACGGAACCAAACCCTAAAACGCCAGAGGGAATTTGATGGAGAAGATATTCCGTTTAAACTGCGTCGTGAAGGAGCTGCTGGGAGCATGGTCGCCATTTCTTCAGCAGAAAAAAAAAAACGTAAGGTTGCCCCCATCGATGAAGGTGAAACAGTGAGTGCCAGATGGTATCCCATATAGTGACATTCAAAACTTGTTGAACTTCACCAAAAGTTCCTCAAAAGTGGGTTGCATCACTGGAAATTGCACCATGACTATGCTCCAGCGCACGTTGCCAAATTGACAGCTTCCTTCACTGCTGAACAAAATCTTCGCCCGTTCCGCAGAAAGACAAAAATACCTGGTTCGAAAACGGCTATACCGCTCATGCAAGACTGGAAGTGACTGGATTTTAGTTTGCTGTGGCACAGGGATGCTGGATCACTCAGGCAAAAACGCAAAATCATTGCAAGCTCGTCCCTCCTCAAGAGTTATAATTCAGGTACCCGGTCACTCCCCGTTTTTTGAGCACCGCGAGTCTCATTACGGGCAAAAATTCCAAGAAAATTCGTATTAATCACTGAATCCCTGTTGAAGAAGAGGGCAATCGTAATATTAGTCCAATATATGTGGGTGGGGCGAATTCTTGAAACTCATTGAACGCCCCTCGTATAGCTGTGAAAACCGCAAATCGTGGCCAACATTTTTTATTTTGGAGAAAATGCCTCGGCAACGAAATTCTACTTCCCCGAAAACGAAGCGATCAACTATTTTACACTTCTGGAACAAGGACCATCGAACTTCGTCTGAGAAAGATCCCCGTTCAAGTACAATATTGCCAAGATTACAAGGCCCGATAGAGAACAGACGCCGCAGTGACCGACCCCGCAAGATCACCGCCGACAACGACAAGGCCAATTGATTCGACGAAACCATGAGACAACGGCGAAAGAACTGGCGCGAACGTTGCTTCAGGACCGAGGTCGGCACGTGTCCCGATAGACGGTACAACGCCAGCTCAAACGGATGGGCTACAAGAGTACTTTGCCCCATGCGACACCAATGTTGAGCACAAAGCACAAAGATGCGCACGTCCAGTGGGCAATTCGACACGAGAAAGACGATTGGAGCCGAACGGTATTCACCGACGAGACCTCCTACCAATTATTCAGAAACACGATTCGTCGATGGTAAAAGAATCCAAGAGGCGAGGTCGAGCGAATCCCGAAGAACAGACAGAAGATTATGGTGTCTTCAGTGACGGCTTTAGTGTCATGGGCCTGGTCGGCTGTCATTCGTGAGAGCGGATTATTGATGGTACTTACGACGTTCAAATCCTTCAAGATCACCTCCTCCGTAGTATCAGGACATTTCGGTCGACGCTGGCGACTGCAGCAAGACGACGATCCCAAACACAGAAGTCGAGTGACGAAGCAGTTCCTATTCGAGGAAGTACCCGAAACGATCAACTGGCCGTCGAACGGTCCCGACGTCGATCAAAATAAAATATAGTATCCAAGCAATTTAATAATGTCAATGCCAATGGGTTAATGCAATCACTCCTGAGTTGATCTGAAGCAACCTAGCAACTATACCTAAGCATAATTATCCTAGAGTGACCCTTGTTTAGTAAAATTGACTAATTGGGGTCCAAAATGACCCAGTGATCAAACTCATACATAATTATCCGAGAGAGACCCACTCTTGAGTATGAGCCTTTATTGCATGACATAGCAGATATGCTTCATACCAAAGAAACATTTTTAGAATGTGCAGGTAGCGAGCTCCTGAGGTAAATCTGGTCATAGCGGATGTGCAACAGTCCAGTCCTTATACCTAGCAGCTATGTTGTCACTAGGTGCCGTACACTCCTGGTGGCAAGCAAATTAAAACCATCTGGCTTTGTCATATTGCAGATTGACATTTTAAAGATAATTTTCTTAAACTTTATGCTAATCCAGGGTCCAGGCTCATCCATATTTTTACAATATCTTTTGTGTTGAGGTATGTACAAATGTTGATGGACCAACTGAGCTCTCTAGCATCTATGCAGTGTGGATTAGAAAGCAGAAAATGTAGTTTGTAGCAACCGAGCAACAATAACATTTTTGGGGCTACTGCTTTCAAATTAGATTTTTTTTCATTTTTCCACTTGTTCCATGTTCGAGGAAATAAGTGAAACCTATAAGATTTTTTTTCACAGAAAAAGAAAAAATCAGGCATTAAAGGGTTAACCCTTTCAGTCCTGAATTATGTTCTAGGCATTGAACAAATATGTCATATACTTTTTGGGCTTTAATAAGGCTCACATAAAATAAAAGGGTTTTTAAAATGGTTTCCTAAAGTAAAATAAATATTTATTAAATTATTTTTTAAAATAATTAATTAAATTGATATTTAATTAGTTGAGCTAGTACTCATATCCCTGTTTTACATCACATTTTTCCTAGCATTCCTGTACTAGTTTCCATTATCTAGCTTGCAAAAACAGGAAAAAAAATTGACTGGGAAATAAATGTATTAGTTAAAATAAATGCAAAAGATGATACCATTTTTGAAGTGCCTGAGCAAATACAGCTGCTTCATATTACTGTGGACTGCTGTCAACTTGACAACATGAGGTGAACTATTCTTGGGTTGTATTAACAGGTGAATTTGGGAAACTGTCAACTTTAATAAAATAAATGAGTAATTCTAGGATAATTAAGCTTAATATTTAACAATGTATACTTTTTGGCCACTTTGGGTTACTTTAATCTGGAATGCTTACATTCAAGGAAGATCATTCAGTCACCATGGGTCACTGCATCTTGTGGTTGATTGGACTAATTTTGGTTAACTTAGATCACCTTTGAATAATTAGGCTCAAGTTAGGTCAATATGTCAACTTATGTCACTCAGTATCACTCTGGGATCACTTGGACCTGATTTTGAAACTAAGATAACTTTGGCATTTCAGTATGAAAACAGATTGGCTTGTGAGTTCCAGACAGTCTTACCTGGAAAAGATCCATGCTTTTTCCACGTGGTACCTGATATGTATGTGTGTGTGTGTGTTCATAATCCAGTTGACCCAAAGGCCAACTGGTTCAAACTTCTATTACATCTCTCAAGCAAAGTATTGTGCATGGTTAGCCATCTGTGCTTGTCTACAATGAAGAAATGTGAAATTTATGCACATATCTCAGTCAAGCAAGCATTGAATACAAAATGATCTAACCAAATAGGAAGAAAACTATTTAAAAAGAAGAAGTAGTGAAATGAGCTTTTGGAAGCCAAAGGCTCTGCAATATCCTTGTCAGGGACATGGTCCTGTTAAAATCCTTGGTGTAGATAAATCTTTTCATAAATCTCAATTGAGCAATGAAGAGTTAGAAGAAAGAGTGTGGCTATAAGGTTTTCAGGACTGTACTCACAGCTGTAGTCCACCTCACAACCATGACAAATGCAGACTCCATTGGCTAGAGATATCTCAGCTAAAGCTGCCCAGTGAAGCAGAATTCTCCCTTTTTTTTCCTGCTCTTTTCTTTTTGAGTATAGCATGTGGAAATATCTTTCAGGAATGGTTCCCAATAGATTGTAATTTCTCCTTGGCTGTTTGTCAGAGATTTGCTGCTCTCATGCATCATTATATCAGGAAAAGAATGCTGCAAAGAATGCTCTAAACCAACATGTTGTAAAGAAAAAGCATCAATACAGGAACATACTGGAGAACTACTATCATCCCTCCTCTTCATAAGAATCACAAATTCATACTTTAAAGGAAAAACAATTTCTCTAACTGTGGCTTCAGGTCTTCTCCACTGATTCTTTCCTTTCTAGGTGCTCTATATTCATATGTTCCAATTTCAGGCACTTTCTCAACCAGGAGGTTGTAAGCATGACACAGACGATCAAATTCTTCCAATGTCAGCTGAAAGGGTCGAGTTGTTGGATCTACTTCAGCAATGGCAAAGATTTTTGGGATCAGAGTCTGATGGAGTGCAGGAGGTATAAGTGTGGCAAAACTATGATGGCATTCCTTTTGTCTCATATGAAATGTGCATCTGACAACTTTTTCAATGAGAGAAAAAGGCAGACTGATGATAGGACTCTTTCGTGGTGTTAAATGCACCACTCCAACATCAACTTTAGGAGCAGGGATGAAGGAACCACCCTGTATGTTGAACTTATGCTTGACATCACATAAGTACTGACACATCACAGACAGCCTACAGCGCTGGGGAGAAGAAACAGGGGCACAAATTCTTTCAGCAACTTCTTTCTGAAAAGTTAACGTCATTGGGACTCTTCCATAAGTCCAGGCACTATTTTGAGCTGACACAGACTTCATCCATCTGATGATGAGTGGTGTGGAGACACTGAATGGTAAATTGCCTATGAGATGTATGGCTGGGGTTTCTTCTTCCCAGGCTTTTTTCATGTCTTTAGGGAAGGCATTTTCCATATTGTACGATAATACATCTCCCATGATGATATGGATACGACCACCTGCAGCTTCTCGCAACATTTCCAAAGTAGGGAGGAACCTTGCATCCTTCTCAATGACCAAGATTTTCTCAACTCCAGCACTTAGGAGGGCTCTTGTAATGCCACCTGGACCTGGTCCAACTTCACACACATGAGCACCATTCAAATTACCAGACACTTTTACAATTCGTTCAATGATGCGCGGATCCAAGAGGAAATTCTGTGATAACTTTTTCGCTGCTCTTATCTTATAAAGCCGCAAAAGATCCCTCACAGTTGGTAGAGGAGGCAAGCGCATTTCCCTTGCAAGTGCTTTCGCCATTTAGGGAAAGTCTCAGAAGCAATGGAGATCTGAACACCACCAACTTACACTTATAACTCTTTACTCTGCTCTACTGGATCTTCAAAGTCATCCAGGAACTTTTCTTGCTTCACTGCTACAATAGAATAGGTATAAATACTAAGGACTCCTGCACCAAGAAGCAGACCTGTCAAGAAGTTCCGCTGGCGGACTCGCTTGAGCTTTTGGACTCGCAACAGGTTCTCCTTTTCAAACTTCTTCATGTAATCAATGTGCATTTGAGTGATACCTTTGTCTTTCTTCAAATCAACTTTTGGCATTTCATCAGATTCTTTCATTGTGACAAGAGTATCACAGAGGTTTAACCTAGTTCCAGAAGAAATGGATTAATGATGAAGAAAATTTATTATTTATGAATTCAAAAAGGTTCAAAGTCAAACCTCTAGTCCAGATCAAAGATTTAGTCCTATAGACTAGGCCTATGGATAAGCTGATGCAAAGTCCTTCAATATATGTAACTAAAACCATCTTCCTGAATTTCACACACACCAAAAGCCACTTACTATGCAAATTTTTTGAAAGAATGAAAAGTAAACTGCTCAGAAAGCAAGAGTAAATCTGAACATGCATTTAGAATATATCCACATTGATTGTCCTGTGTCGATCCTGAGTGAGTCCTCTCCTAAATCTAAGCATTAACAATTATGAAATTTATTTTTGTAAAACTATACCCCCCATGAAAATACCATGTATGACAGTGTGTATGACTCTATATGGTCATGTATGATCATATATTTGCCATATATCAGCATATATGTATTCATATATTAACAATTGTATGGTGTATAATATATCTTACCTGCATTGCAATATTAAGTGTGATGGGCAAATGGCATCATGTCTGATATGTGATGAATATCCAATGACAAGTCTTATGGTTGTAAATAAAACATGGCATGAAGTCAGTGGTGTATTTTGGCTTAAGAGTCAGGGGGGACAGGGCAGCAGAGTGGGGGCACCAAGCCCTGTCCCTGGGATGCCAGGGGGGGGGCAGCTGCACCCCCATGCCCCCTCCCTGGAAAATATGCCACCGCATAAGTTTGTTACACGAGGGCAATTGACCTTCAGATACCTCTGTAACTAATTTTTAATGCACCCATTATATTTTACATGAAATATTAGCTATGTATAACCTTTAAAGTAATTTGCCAAAAGTTTCATTTTGAACCCCTCCAGCTGAAAATCCTATTTGAAAACAGCTATAATTTCAAGCTGGACTCCAGTTGGAAATTCAGACCCATTACTTTCCCATACTTTCCAGCTGGGTAGCAGCTGGAAAGTAAAGTCAGATCCAGATTGTTCCTAATTGCAATATATTGGTGGAATGAGAATGTTTTTGTTGGCTATTCTTGCTGGAGGTCCATCTAAAGAAGCAGCTGAATTTCAACTGTAAATTCAGCTGTTTTCCAACTGAAGGGTCCTCTGAATCAAATTCTAATGGTAAATTTCCAGTTGTAAAACAACCTGTAATTACCATTTTTCAGCTCTTTGCCAGCTGGAAACAGTTAGAATATACAGCTTCTGTCCACCTGGAAAATTCCAGTCAGGGTTTCTAACTGGGCGCTACCCTCTCTAGGTAGCATAAGCATATCGCAGATGAAAAAAGTAGAGGAGGAGGGGGTACAATAACTCTGGGACACTGTTACCATGCATTTCATGCATCTTTTTCTTCGTATTAATACGCTTTTTGTTGCTAAGTGGAGGGCACATGTCATGCCATGCCTTCATTGGATTATTTCAGGAAGAAATAGGTTTTTTTCCCATCTATCTTGTGAGTTGTCAGTCAAGACGAAGAAGACACTCCTACATGAATAAGCCAAGTTTTGTCATGAAATAGCATTACTGATGAAAATACTTTTGGAGGTTAAAGTCTATAATATTGAAACCTTCACCTTCATTAACAAGGGTGCATATGTTGAACACCATGAAACATGAGTTCTTTGAGTAATTGACTTTAGTATATGAACAATTAAAAATGAGTTGATTGCAAGTAAGGTACGGTGACTTGCATATGAATGATCATATAGTATCTGATGGATTATGGACCCTTTTTGGATACAGCCATGTTTCAGGTAATCTCACCATACATAGATATGACATGGCATATATGGACAGCATATGGTGCATTTGTATGAGCCAATATATGAAAATGTATGGGGTCATATATTTTCAGTCTCATATGATTTTATGTGACTTGTGTCAAACCCCATACATGTTTTATATATGTCCATATATGCCCCATATATGTTGGACTGGTTTAATATATGGCCATTTCATATATGGTCTTATGTGAAATTTTCATGTGGGACCCAATAGCAACTCTGGGTTTCGGTGCTTACAGCCAAATGTTTACAACCATACTCGGCCATTGATTTTAACCTGTTAACTGGTGAGTTTCCACCTATTGGTGGCAGCCTGGATGGGTAGTTTTCTTGTGCAGCAACAAATAATATGCAATAGAACTTCTTTTAAGTCTCATTTATGCAAGGGGAATAATGCTTCATGAATGTTTCATTGAATGACAATCCAACACCTTCAAATCCTGTAATGAGTATCCTCAATGTATCCAGTTAGCAAGTTTATTAACATGTTAACTGAATATGATGGGGAGGCCATGATTCTGCATAAAATGGTTCAACTGATACTGGGAACAGCCAAGTTTATCAGGTTATAGTCTTGAAGGAACATCAGATATGACCAGCAAAGTAAAGGAAGTGTCTATATCCATGACATAGTAGCAACTACTCTTTTCATATCCTTATTATTTTCCTCTTCCATAGTAATGAGACCTTGTAACCAAATTCCTAAAAAAGTGTATGTCAATGTTGAATACTAAAAGTTTGACCCCTATCCCATTCCTTGCTTTCATTTCCCTTCACCTTAACATGGGTTCTGCTGCACAATGATTTTGATACAAAATGAACATGGGTCATGCTGGAGTAGAGCCCTGAAACAGGTAGGCACAGAGGGGTATGGGAGTTGCCTGGGCTGTGAGAGAGATTCAGGATGCCCTGAAAATAATGGTACCAGGGCAGCCCAAGATATTGCCAATCACAATTTAAAAACTCACCTAATTTCCACCTGAGGCCCTTGCATGCCATGCAGCATAGCTACGGGTGTGTGCATGTTGGGAAGCCTAAGCAGAACTCAGTGTGCATGATAAGGGTATTGCGCATGTAACGTACAAAACCCCCAAAAATAAACTCTTCTAACTTTGCACAAAAGTTCCACCTATGTGTGTCCACTAGATATTACAACAAATACTGAATTTTCTACTGGCCCTGGGTGAGGAAGAGTCCTCCTATGGGCATAGGTAGGGATGGGGCGGTCAATTGACCATTATTGACCACTAATTTTTTTAATTCAGTGAATTAAGATATTTTTATAGAGCTCTTAACTGTGGTCATTTATCCCCCAGCACTAAAACCAAAGAGCCAGTTCAATTTTTAAGATTTGTTCATGCAGCCTGCCAAACACCTAGACTATGGCACCTGTTGCATATGAAAACATTTTAGCAAATGCTCAAACCATATCATAACCTTTCACCTGAGTGATGCAGTGTGCATGTGCAGGCATAGCTTGCTGTTCAAAGTTTTATAGTCTCAAGGACTTTCAAAGTTAAGGTTCAAGATCTAAATAACAGCTTTAGAACTTTAGTTTCGTGCAAGGTCAATTATGGTCCTGGCTAACAGTCTGCATCAGAGCATCAAATTATTCTCAAAGTACTTGTGTTATGCCTATGCCTAAAAAAATTAATCTAGCTATTACACATGATTCATTACTGTTTACCCTACAGATTGCATGAGTTGGAACATTAAATTTATCTTAGCAATGAGATATTGACTGGTCAACATGGTCATTCATGATCATATAGTCATAAGGTCTAACCTTTTGTTGGGCTCATAACCATTATACTCTGCAAATGGTCTAAAATGCTCATGTTGACCAGTTAACTTCCCATCCCTAGTCTATCACTTGTGAGTCATGACATAATGGTGCAAAAACTACAAAGAAATTAAATAAATGAATAAAAGTTGGTTCTATTTACCAAAATTGACCAAAGTTGACCATATTGACTGGTCAATAACCCATCCCTAGGCATACGTTATAAATGTTTGACTTTCCTGATTATATGATATTAAGTACAGAGGATTGACAAAAGTTTTTGAAAAAATGTTTGAAGTCCAATTTTTCCTGTTCCTGTGATTGTATTTGCACAAAATTTCCTAGAAATGATGATTGATGGTTTGTCTACCAGTCGTGTAAATTTCACCACATTTTATTTCGATTTACACACGTTTGCAAACTGCCCATTTTGTCTACCAATCCTTCTTGTGCAGACACAATGGGAAAGCATAAAGAATTGACTGCAGCTCAACAGGGTGCCATATTTTATTGCCGTAAGTGTGGTGACAAATACTGTATGAAACACCAGTTACTGACCCATTTATTAGAACAATGGGTCCCACACCCTGCCACAAAATGCTGCCCCAGTGCATGAGGCTGGGGCTGTTTCACAGCTGCCGCAGTGCAGGAGACGACCACTAATCTTTCGGCTCGAGCCATTTACTTACTTCTATTCTTACTTCATTATATGAGCCAGAAACTGGTGTTTCATACAGTATTTGTCACCACGCTTACGGTAATAAAATATGGCACCCCGTTAAGCTGCAGTCAATTCTTTGTTTTCTCATTGTCTGCACAAGAAGAGTTGGTGGACAAAATGGGCAGTTTGCGAACGCGTGTAAATCGAAAGAAAACGTGACGAAATTTACGCAACTGGTAAACAAACTGTCAATCATTATTTCTATTAAATTTTTCGCGCATACAATCAGAGGAACAAGAAAAATTGGACTTCAAACATTTTTTCGGAAACTTTCTCTCTAGAAACCTCTGTAGTAGTACGGCACTCATCCATAGCACCACCGGTCCACTGGGCGCCACCATGATGGTTTCTGCTTCGCAGCGTTCAGCAATGAGAACGTCATGGATTCGCAGGTTAATATGCTTGCATTCCATATCTTTTCAATTATACATTATCAGCCACTGAAAGGGTGCGAGAGTATTTCCTCAAAATAGAGTTCTTTCTGTTTTCATGTAAGTGTACATTAGCACTAGATGGTACGCTTCCGCGAGTAAATTTCAAAAAATCATTTGCGGGTCAATCCGCCCGTTTTTTTTTTTAAGTGAGTGAACAAGCTGTGGAAAAAATGTTTCTTAAGCTTCACTTAGGCAAAGAACGATTTTATTTTACTACGGAATCATGGGCTTTCGCTTTCAAATGACATTGGGTTGAAGTTGGTAAATTCCCTGGGGCTTCATGCAGAAGCACCTACAGCCTCATTATCCAATATGGCGTAATCCTTGAGTAGTCGATCCCGCTTCAGTTTCTCTTGTGTCAACAGAGGTAGAAGTGCTCCATGAGAGGTTCAGTTGAGTTATGCATTTTTCATTTGACTCTGTCAAAAGCAAGGCTGCCTGAGCAATCTTCAAATCCCCACATTAGCAATGTAGCTTTGCTGTACGAGTCAAAGGAACTGGCGACTTCAAGTGAAATACCCACGTTGTGAAACTCTGCCCGGGCTTAGGAATGTGTGTAGATGTGATCTTGTACTATGGTTTTCTGCTTCCCCACTGCTTTCCATCGCAAGTGAGGAAGCAGATCGCTTGTCATGCTTTCTTGATATCCAATGTCTCCATGTTTCAGGAGAAGCTACTGTGATCAAGGTAATGGCATTAGGTAGCATGTGGAATTTTAAGTAGTTACTTGAGTGTTTTTCAGGTGATTGCAAGCACTTCAAAGTTACTCTTCGTCTGTAAGTAACTGTTGGGATCTGGGATTGAACTACCATGTTGAGTTTTGAGATTGTGTTTATCAATGGTTAAAAAGATACATAAAAGGGAGGAAGTAATTTGTCTCCTACAAAGATGTAGCTAGTTCTTTGAAGGAAATTGAATATGGTGTGCCACAGGATATGTTACAGGTTCTCTGCTTTTCTTATACTTGAAAACAATGTAGAAGATGTCATAGCAGAAGACAATAAGGGTGGCTTTTAAAATCAAGTACTGCTCAATACAGTGTTATTTTTGGAGAATATACCTCATTATCAGAGAAGCTCTTTTTGAACCATGTACATTCTACAGGGTGTTCAAAAAGAAACACAACCCATTGGAGAATGCATGTTTATTAGTAAATTAGTAAATAATTTCAATTCCTAATGTAACTTTCAACAGGTAATATTCTTTCTTTCTTGAACTGTGAACACCATTCTTGTACTTAATGATCAGTGAAACAGAAAGAAAAGCAATGGGTTCCAATGATATATGCCTTATCCAATGGGTTGCATTTCTTTTTGAACACCCTATATAATACTGCATTATGTTTAACTCCAGTTTATGATTATAATAGAGCAAGTCCAAAGGTCCTCTATTATTAATCTGCCATGTCATTTTTGTCACTCTTAATAGATAGGCCATGTGGGTTGCGCAAGAGAATGGAGTGTTTAAATGCAAAGTCATGTTTTCTTCTAGTGCATCAAGCATTTACTCATTGTCAAAGGAAAGGGGAAGAGAAGATCCACCTCCAGTCTTTTTTTGCTGTTGAGTGATGTAATGATTTCAGCTTCACCTTTTATATGGGTTTTGCAGCACACCCAGAAACTTCTTGATTTGTTTCAATTTTCATCTCATACTAGAGTTAGCTTCCCCCAGAGTTGAAGTGGTTTTTTTCATGCACCTGCAGCTGTGAAGTTGGTAACCCAGTATCAGACATAACCCCACTATTCAAATGAGCCAGCACTAGACAGTAGCACCAGTGTGTACTGTACAGTTTAATAGACCTGCACCTTCGCTTCTTTTTTTTTTTTTAAGTGGTTATGGCATCACTTCCTGCAGTTCACCATTTCAGTTTTTTGAGTTTATCCCATAAAATATGTTTTAATTTCACCAGTGATATTTTTTACATTTTAGACCCTCTTGTTCCTTCTTATTTCCCAATGTTGAGTGATGCAATGCAGACTGGAATGCAAGAGGACATGAATAACTTTGAAACAAAATGACTATAAATAAGTTCCACTTAGTTTTCTGTAATCTGCCTTGAGAAGACCATTTTGAGTTCAAAGTCAATTGGATAGGTCAAGTTGAGTCTCATACAATCATATAGATACAGTACTTAGATGTGTGATTAAACAATTGACTCAGCTGGAAGGAACACATTCAAAATGTAGCAAGGAAAATAGAACTCAGTTGTAGTAAAATGTGTAAAATCATAAGTTATGTCAAAATAAATTTTCAGAATGTGTGTTTTGCAATGGTGGATGCACATATAAGCTACTGCTTGCAGTGAACACTCTTGCCCATGAAATTTGCACAGCAATGATTAAAGCCACAAGAATTATGAACCAACTTCACAAGAGAAAGAACTAATTGCTACTTCATTCTTTGAGATATACTTATGCTGGAAAAATTATTTAAATGTCATTGTACATTGTAACATATAGGGAAGTGAGTAGGGGTAACATTAAGCTTTTAAAAATGTATTTAAAAAACATTAAACTTGAATTAATCTGTGACCAGCAAGATAATGGAACAAAGTAATATTAACCCTTTGACTGGCAAGTTTTGCAAACAACAGTTATACAGGAGCCTATAAAATTTACTGGCATGCCAGTCAAAGGGTTAAGTTGTATGAACACAAAGACATTGAAAATGAGCTAATTGCAGTTATCTGTTGCAGCAATGTATCACAATTCCTTGCCAATTTAAAATTACTATTTGAGAAACAATTCAGAAAGTGCCAAAATAGGTATGAAAAAAAAATTAAAAAGTATTATGCAACAATTTTTGCATGGGTTAAGGATGCACTTGAGTGTTCATTTGTTGAAGCCATATGTAGTATATGGCTTTTAAAAACTTTGTTATCAAGATTTCTCATGCATGCACACAGACTCACATTCTGCATTAAAAAAAAATGGCACCACCATGTCGTTGACCAGTTCATAAAATCAAGCATCTTGGGGCATTAGGAATGGGGATGTTTTTTACAGTATAGACGTACTTGAGAAAACTTCAAGACTACTGGAAATGCACAGGTGGCAACATTGGTTGGTATTGGTTGGTTCAGTGCTGAGTTTTTTTTAGGTAGTACCCCCTATGTGAGTATATTTCAGACTTTTGTCTGTTTTAAAAAGGTTGTACTAATTTGAATTATACTCATTCTGCTTAGTATTGAAGTTAGTGAATTGATGCAAGTTGAACACCTGATTGACTAGATTTACTAACTCTTTGTTATGTACCAAGACTGATACATACTTGAATTGGCGGATGTATATATATGTCAATCGCATTGAACAGGTTAAGGGACTGGCAATTGCCTATAAACTGATTGGAATGAAAAAACATCTTGTGTGAAAATTTTTCTGACATTCATGAAACATGTGTTTGTGACAAAAACTAAAACTGACCCACCATGCTTTGAAAAAGAAAAAGTAAGTTTCTTCCCTCCTTCCTAGTTTCAACTCCTGTAGAAGTAGGGGCTTCATCCTAGAAGGCACCCAACCTTACTAACTGATTATAATTTTTTGTTAGTGATGTTTCTCTTGTCTTGTTTTTGGTTTTGAGGTTTTATAAGAGCTCTTCCTCTCAGAATTTAAATAGGTCTCACAGCCAAACAGTAGGCCAGCATTACCAGGCCAAGGCTAAACCCATCACAGATGCCTGGAGGATTTATCATGGAGAGGCCAAAAATGAGCAAGGCCACATGGGAGGCTCTGAAAGCTCACATTCTACTAGAGAGGAGAAAGAAGAAGGAAGGTAGGTAATTCTACTGTTAAGGCCTATGTTCTCAGATGAGCTGAACCTAAGCCAAAGACCTAAGAACCTCAGTTAGTGGAGCTAATTTGTTGACCTATACAGTATATGTGACAGCAGAACTTTCTAGTGATTATAATATTCAAGTGATTCCTTTTACATGAATGCATGCAGAGGGGGCACCTCTAAAATGTCTGTCTAAAACTTTTGTGATGACTGCAAACATTTTATAGTCTTTTCTTAAGAAACCGTGACATTTTCCATGCACATTGAAAAAAATTCATAGCTCAAATTTATGCTTTAGGAGTCTCATGGACAAGCCTTCCCTCTCTCCCTGATGTGGAAGATGGCACAGTATCGAGTTTAGCTTTTTTAGATTGACATCCCACTGTTTGGATTGGGGATCATTCCATGTTAAAAGGTGGCTCTCTAATTTAAATGAAATTTGGCAGGCTTATTTGTACCTATTAGAAAGTGACACAGCAATTATTGGGTTCATTTTACTTCTTGTTCCTCAGGTATGAGGCCATGAAAATTCAAGCCAAAATGCCTTCTTCCTGCACTATGATACTCTCCCCCTCATAACTTATGTTTGAGCTAGAGACCTCTTCTAAAGTTCGTTTGAAAGCTCTTTTCAAACCCTTCTCCAACATTTGACTAGGGTTTGAATTAGGGCTGTTATGATAGCAGCTTTCAAAACATGCATCTACCTAAACTATCGATAATGTATGGATGCATCGAGAGGGATGGGGGGGGGTCCGTCGGAGGATTCAATCTTTTCTCGCCGCGATTGGATGGAGGTTTGTTTTCCATTGTTTCTTGCCTCGATCAGAGCGCGGACCACTATACTTCTTCCATAATCTCACGCCTCTGATCGGGGGTGAAGGTGTGACTATAGCAGGGAAACCTACCATGCCTGCAACTATCGAAGAAGACATCCATTCATTGGTGGATGCATCAGGACAGCCCTAATCTTTTCTTATTGCAGTTGTGAATCAGTTGTCAAGCCCGTTCTCTTAATTTTTTTTATTCTCTTTTTCTTCGTTCTACACGGTCTTCTTTGGGCATCAGCATTGGCAGATAGGAAACCTGCCGATGGTGCCATACTGGCGATTGCCGAAACATCAGTACAACCCTAGAATAAGGAACGTCCATGCAAAAAATTCACATTGGGTTCTCCTTCACTGTGGAATTTTTTAGGGTTGATCAGAAAGTAAGGTTACAATACTTGCTGCTGCCAGTTGATGAGGTTATTTACAAAACCAGTATTGTAGGTATGTTAGGCATTACAAGGGTGGTATTCCTGCAGAACAAGTGTCTTCTGGTGCACGTTGCATATGGGCAGTGACAATTTGCAAATGGCGATGCGACTTGAGACATGGTCATGCGAAGTTTGTTGTGTAATTAGATTTCTGTGGGTAAGACATGTACCAGCGGCAGAAATTCATTGCCATTACCATTGTAATCCTGTAATGTCTTGACATAAAGTAGCGGCATGATGTCACCAGATTCAGAATGGACGGACGAGAGAGACTGATGAACAGCCAAGCGGCCGTCCGAGATCTTCCATGGCAGAGGACAATCTCGCAAGCCTGGAAAGTTGTCCAAGAGGACAGGTTACTCTCTGTACTTGTTGTACTTGTTGTAGCTGCTTAACTTAATTTAGCTTACTTGACCTATCATATGGAACCACACATGACATCATCCACAGTTTCTGTGTCGACGTGTCTTTCAACTCTCTTGGTACCCAAAGCGCAGAAACTTTCCGGTACTACAAAACATTATTGAAGATGTCATGCATGGTTCCATGCGATATATTAAGTAAAGCTAAATTAAGTTAAGGAGCTACAGAACGTACAGTGAGTTGCTGGTATGTGTCTTACCCACAGAAATCTAATTACACTACAAACTTCGTGTGACCATGTGTCCAGTCGCATCGCCATTTTTAAATTGTCACTGCCCATATGCAATGCGCACCAGAGGACACTTGTTCCGCAGGAATACCAGTCACCTTTGTAATACCTAACGTACCTACAATAATGGTTTTAAAAATAACCTCACCAACTGGCCGCAGCAAGCATGGTAACCTTACTTTCTGATAAACCCTCGTATGTTTTCCCGTTGCCCCTTGTCTGCAGAATTTTTTGGAGTTTCTGTTTCTCTGTGGTAGCCTAACACCACTGTCTCGAAAATGCAACAGCTGCAGTGAAAGAGTTAAGTAAAGAGGTAAACTGCTCCAGGGCAAGTTGAAAAGAACCTGCATACTAAAGACTAAAACAGGAATATAGAGAGGTGGATTAACCAATGTACGTTTCGAAATCAAGGGAGTATAAAAAGTCCACTTCCGCAGCGTGCACCTGATGAGATTGAGCTGAAGACTGAAATAAAGAGAAAAAATATTCTGGGTTCTCCCTCTCTGATCCAACATGTTTTTTCTTCTTTTTTTTTTCCTTCTGGTCTTTCATATAGTCAGTCCCAGCATTTCCAGCAATATTAAATTGTATAATGATTTTCAAATGAGCATATATGTTTCCCAAATCTTGTCAAATCCACAAAATCAAGAGTAATATGTTTTCCTACCTAAACATGACCAAGGGCAACTTGTACACGGCAGAATTTTGAAGAAACATAAAAACATAATACCTGTATTTTTGGACTAACCTCATAAAGCAGGAAAGACACTCTAAAGCTGGTTCAGTTACACACATTTTCACAGGGAATTTTTTAGGTTTGAGAATATGATTTCATGAATTTCATAAAATGGTAACTTTTTATAAATAAAGTATAGAAAAACCCATGGAGAATGGTATAGATGCCTGGCTACTCTGTTTAAAATGAGCTATTAATCCATTTTCTAGCTTAAGTATTTAGGGAGATATTGAATTTGTTTGACAGGTCATTTTATCAATACTGCTCAAACTTTGAAGGGGTATATCTCAAAGACCAGTTGACCCAGACTGCTGAAATTTGGGTTCATCCAATTCTTATGACCTCCAGTACACATGATTTTCAACGGCAAAATCCCAGTCGGTGCAGCAACTGCCTTTGGACCACTTGGCATAGAATGACTTATTCCTTTATAAATAGAATCTATCGGGTAAATGCAACAATAGCAAGAACAAGAGTGAAGTATGAAACATACACAACAGTAGCAGTTAAAGGGTTAATGTAGCTCCCTTCATCTCCTTTTATTTGGTATACCATACATGATGGATCTTCAAGGAAATTAAGCAAGACAAGCAAGGGAAGATGAATGGTCGTTCTGTTTGTTGCTTTGCCACCTTTTTTTTTATTGATACATCATTCCTTCCATATATATTCAACCTTCCATTTATTTATTTATTTATTTATTTTTGAATGCATCCTCTGGGCCACAGGTGTCAGGGAGAGTGCATTCAATCAATTATGAAGAAATTAATAATTGTTAACTTTTTTCACTCATGACCTTAATCACACTTTACTTAATTATTACAGAGCAAGAGGCTGATGCAGCTGAAGAACGAGAGAGGAAAGAGAGAGAACGGCGAAGAAAAGAATCACAGATGACTTTGGGTGAAACACGCGAAGAATTGGAGCGACTGGAACAACGTAAAATGGCTTTGAATGAAGAAAAGCATGAGCTATTCTTGCAGCTGAAGAAAGTTCTCAATCAAGAGGAAACCCAAAGAAGACAGCAGATATTGAAGGAGCAGCAAGTTAGGCAGGCAGAAACGTGAGTTTTAATAGCTTGGGAATTCTGAGAATGACAATTGAAGATAGCCAGCAAAGTGTGGATTTTTTACCAGCCTTTTGGTACTCTTCATGTTTCAGTGACATTCTAAGGATTGGTGGTGCATCTTATCCACCACCAGGAACCATTCAACTTGGAGGTCATCCTCCTCCAATGTTCATGCAGCCACTAAGTTTGACCCGTCCACCACTCTACAAAATGGAACCCCGACCATCTGTGGTTGCTCCTGTATGTTTCCCCAAGGATTGGTTTGCTATTTTGGAGACTCTCCTTGCCTACAAAGCTACCCCCAAAAAATTTACCTATTAACTTCTGAATCTCAAAGAGTTCTCATTTTGCATCCTGCATGGAAAGGCTCATTGAGCACAATGGTGTGATCCTGTTCCATACAATATAAATATTGACCATTAGTTCTTCGACAATCCTTAGGTACATATGGTCATGGGACTCCTGTTGAATACCTGATTTAAAGGCACTTATCCTCTCCAGATATCAGTGATAGTAACTGGGGCAGTTAGTAACTAGGTATGCTTAGGAGTAATGATATTTGTGAACTTTCTCTTCTTAGCAATTCCTGAATGATAATGAATGCATCACCCAATGCATCGATACTCTATTGATAGCTCAGGTCAATGCATTGATGTGTTGAAACCTGCTATCATGACAGCCCTACTTCTACTTATTTCAAATTGAATTCTTGCCAATGAATTCCAAGAAATCTAAGGTGTGCCATGGCCAGCTTGGTGTACTGAACCAGAGAAATCTTGGGCATAACAGTCAAGTGGTTAAGGAACAGTTTTAGAGTCAAAGGCTTTAGATTTTCCAGCAGTGGCAGTAAAGCTTCCAGAATGATATTAGGAGTACTCCACTTGCAATGTTGAGTCCAAAAGTGCATCTCATCCTTTCAAAGATAATTTGAAATTCCTGACTCCTAGTTTGCTCGTGTTTATTCTTCAATGGATGTTGTTTTCCTATGAATCCATTTCATCTGCTGTCAGTCTTCTTATGAAGCAGGGGTGGCCAAACTTCCTGACCTTACAAGTCACATAAAATCTTCATGTGACCAAGAGCCACAAGACACACCACATTACAATGCATTTTCAGCACCAATGCTCCAATTTTACAAAAGTTTTGGAAATCACAAGCCACCATTGCTCTTCACACAGCATTTCACCACAAGCCACACTTTTAACTGCCTGGAAGCCACTTGCAGCTTGTGAGCTGCAGCTTATGATGCCCTATAGCAGGAACGGCCAAGCTGCAGCTTGGCCGTTCCTGCTATAGGGCATCATAAGGTAACTTGGGGGAATATGGCCCCAATGGCTATATTCCCCAGCCTTGAGCAACTTAAGTGTATATTTCCTAATAGCAGCTTGGATACAGAAATAATTTCTTCAATGTTCTTCAATGGTCCATCCAGAATGCTTGTGCAAATTGCTAGTCCCTTTCCTTGCAGTTTGCAGACAGTGTTGCCAATTTTGTCATGCAAGCCAATATGGGGGAATATGGCCATCTCAATTTGGGGTAATATGGACACATCCTTCATTTCATGTTAGCACCACACTGACCCATTGGTAGTGTCAGCTTCCTTTCATGTGGGATCTCAGGCTGCAAAAGATCATCCAATGCACTTCCTCTGGATATATGGATAGACATATTGCACATCTGGACGAAATATGCAGTACATGAGCAAGCAGTGCATGAAGATATGCTCATGCACCACCTCCTGGACATCCACTTCACCTGACATACTCCAGAAATTTTTGTGACATGAAATTTGAATGCAAGTAAATATCCCTCATACAAGAAGTTAAAAGGGCTTCCTGTGACATTTTTAGCGCTATTTATCCATACATGCAAAAACTATGCAGTGTTTTTCCTGCAATGTGAGACCACTTATTTTATACTCGTAGCTCATGTTCACTTTAATTTATGATTGATCACTCCTCTCACACCCACAATCTCTAGATACAGGCTCCCAAACACATGCAATGCTACTCAAAGCCAAAAGCATTGCAATCCTGCTTTTTGCAATAGGTTCTTGAGTCAGATAATAATGTCAAATTCATTGCTTGTCCTCAATGCAGTTAATGATTTATTTTTCAACTGCTCAGCCTCCCTTATTATGTTTCAAGGTACTCAGCATGTTCCAGCATATTTTGCATGTATATGGTAAACCTTGAGTTGTTTTTTGAGGAGTGGTCATATTCCCCCAACAATATGGGTAATATCGCCTCATGGGACCAACTTGGAAAAGATCCAAAGGTGCAGTATCTATGTGGTTTTTTGCATGTACCTTGCTGGGATTTAGTAAAGAAGATATGAATTAGTATTTTGGAAACATTGTAAAAGCCAAATTCAACCTTGATGAACTGTTATGACCAGATTTCATTTCATAGGGCCATATTCCCCCAAATTACCCTATTCACTGTTTTATGGAACTTGTGGATGTGGGTTTCTGATTGGACTCGGACAGGAGGAGTGACATATACTGCCTAGCCTCAACTCAGTGTCACCATTGATGAGCAATATTATTAGCACACAAGCTGGTTTGCCCGGGATATTTTATAGGAGTAATATAGCTGTTGTTCTTTTATGTGCTTTTTTGTTTGTGCTTATTTGTCTAAGTCCAGCCAGACCGACGGGGACGGGAGCACTGCTCTGGCCATTTTATTTTTATTTGTTTTTTTTTTCAAAGGATATTTTAAAAAAGAATATGAAGGTCTGGCTCTTTCTTTGTGAGGGCATGCCTGAAACAAAAATAAACAGCAGACAACCAAAATAATAGAGGCATAAATCTATAAGCAA